AGCGCTCGGCTAGTGTGAGCCGTTTGGAGGCCGCCCACCCGTACGGACACCTCCGGTGGCTGAACGCCCTGAAGTCGCCCCGCATTTTGGCCTCTAATCTCCCGCTGGCTTTGATGCCCGACTCCGTCAAAACTCCCGTTTGCAAAGTAAGCAGTAATTTATAACTTATAACTACTAATTATAAAAATAATTGTATTAATTACATGTTATATTTGTTTCCAACATAAGATAATATATGTGTTGCGTAACCCAAAGGACCAGTCGGTGTCGTACTACTACCAGCACCGGGTGAAAGGCATACTGTCCTCGTTTGACGACTTCATATCCCTCTATATGTGCGGACACTTACTATACGGCGATTACTTCTCACACGTTATAGACTATTGGCGATTGTCTCGCATGTGTCCGCACAATGTCTTTGTGCTCACGTTTGAAGAGTTAAAACTCGTAATTAATTAAAAATTATTGCAAAATTAAAACTACATTTAATTTTAATCAAAACATTTTTAATTATTAAATATCTCATAGGAAACACAACCTATGGCTAAACTTATGGCCGATTTCTTAGGCTTAGCCAACGTTACGGCCGAAGACGTGGACAGCATATGTCAGACAACAAAACGCGGGCCACAAGTAGTGATCGATATGTATAAAACAGTGGACACCGATGATGATGAGAGTGGCATAAAGCACCATGGCACTAAGTTTGATGGTGTGATAGGAGATTGGCTTAACTATTACTCGCCTGAACAGAGCCGACAGATGGATGAGCTGATCCGCCAGCGTCTGGACAGACACGGCCTGAGTCTGTGTTGCGATTCAACCGAAGCGGTCAAACGGTTGGCCAAATTTGGGCGCATTTTGTTGGACACGAGTCCTCCGAAACCCGCGGCCACCGATTTTCAGACCAAAAGTAATGGCAATGCGATGGCAAGCAATAGTGTGGCCGGCAGTACCGGTGCTGACACTACTGATGTTGATAGTGATATCAAGAAGAGACCAAAACTGGCCAAAGAAGAGTTTATACTACTGAGGAATAAGAGTTGGATTCCCATTGATGTCTATTCAATAGAGTCTGAGTCTGAGAGCACCGGCTGTTGGACTCGTATGTGTGAGGGTTTTGTCAATTGGTGGTACCGGTGCTGGTGTTGTCCCTGTTTTGGTATTAAATATGGTTAATTTTGTGGATTGTTTTAGTAGTTAATGTTTTTTATTGTAATCTTTCTGTAAATGTTTAGTTATTTTTAATGTTAAACAAAGTATGTGCTAACTTAAGATAAATTAATTAATTAAATACTCGTTTTAAGTGCTTTTAAATTGTATTTAAATTATAATATTAAATATGTACGTCACGTTTTAATTTATTTAAAATAAGGATTTAAATCTAGATTAAATCTTATAAATTAATAAAAATATTTTTAAAATGTTTAAACATTTTTTGCTAAATGTATTGAACAAAATGCAAAATCATGAGAAAATTGATGATATTATTAAATGCTAAAATAATTTCTTAAAGTGTATAATAATCAACAAATTATATCATCAATTAAAATCAAAATACTGGTATTAATTATACAAAAAGTGCATTTTTCGTGGTAAAACAGGGATTTAAATAACTAGTAATACTTGTTTTTATCATAATTATCAACATTAAAAATACTACAGCAGTTTAGCTGATATAAAATTTCAAGTTTAGCCACTAATAAAGTATATGTTTATAAATATAATATTTTGGGAAAAATATTTCTTATTTCATCTCAATATTACCTATCATTACATAATTATAAACACGACTTAACTATTGTTGTTGTATTGTATTTTACAAATCAATTATTTTGTTTGCTGTGAAAAACCTATTGTCTATTGTTTAGTAGAAATAATTAAAATTGTATTTTAAATATTTTATTGCAATAACTTTAAAAAGTTGTTACTATAAATACAATGTTGAAAAACAAAATCACCATTATATTTCTCGGCGTTTTAATTGTGACCATCAGCGAATCCATGGCTCAAAAAGATCAAAGTATTAACATAGATCTTGGGTTAGTTGATATTAATTGTATCTCAATAAATAATATAATATTCAATTATCATCAAGCTAATAATTTTTATAAACAATTTAATATTTTTTTATAGAAAGATATTCCGGTTGGGATTAAACACTGGAAAGGGTGGCACAAAACTGGGCATAGATGTGCTCAACGGGTTGGTCAATGTGGGCGTCGATCGGACCAAATATAACAGTGTGGACACCAATAGTGGTTACAATAATTACGATCACATCAACGCCGACGACAATAGTTAAGTCGT